CAGACACAACACAGAAACACAGATACACTCAATACACCACCCACCCACACAGACATAACACAGAAACACAGATACACTCACTATAGACACCTTACACAGACATGACACAGAAACACAGATACACTCATTATAGGCACCTTACACCCATCTACCATATACACAACCCCCACACCCAACCACATACCATCCGCAGTGGCGTCACCACCAACAGTAGCGTCTGCGTCTCCCCACACTCCAAGTGCACGTTTGCCAATGGGGTGGTGTGATAGCCCTCCCCCTCCACCTCAGCCTCTGCTTCGCCTGTGCTTGGCCGTTGGTCTATCTCGCCTGTACTTAGTTGATGGTTAGTTTCTCCTGTGCTTGGGGGGTGTGTCGTGTCTTGGATGGGTGTCCATACACAGGAAAGGCGTACGTCCTTCAGGACCAATGGCACGCGGAGAGTGTTGGTGATGGCAAACTCCACACACACGTCTTCATATGGGGCGACGATGGGGTGGCGCGTGTTGTCGGTGTGGGAGGTGAGCACGGGTACGGAGGGCCTGGGGTGTGGACAAATAAGGAGGAGGGGTTTGCATGGGGGGTGTTTGGGAGGCGAAGGAGGGGTCTGCAGGTTTCTACCACACCAGACAAAGCACAGACTTGAAGCACGACACAGACACATACACATACATACACACACATACACACACACATACCATCACCCCACAAAAGGAAACACATGGAGCAAGCACACACGACAAGCACAAGTACCAACCACATCAGACAAATCACATACATTAAGTACACACACAAACACATACATATATATACACACACATATATATATATATATATATATACACACACACACACACACAAATGCCGTTCAACACACATCAAACACACTAACACATACCATGCAACACACGTCACACACACATATATATACAAAACATACACGACACACCCACACTTTCATACATACACACACACACACATGCACTTTCATACTTCCAAACTACCATACACACACACACACATACACTTCCATACTTTCACACTTTCATACACACACACACATACACTTCCATACTTCTACACTTCCACACTCACCTGAAGACAGGGAAGTCCCAGCGCCTCTTGTCGCTGTCGGTGACGTATCGCTCACTGACTGTCTGCTCCATTGCCGCCCACATGCGAATGTCCTCCAACGGCTCAGCCACAGCCGTCGCATGCACTGCACCGGTGGCTGTGCGTGTGGCTACGCTGTGGGGTAAAGAAAAGATGATATGAATGTAGAGACGGGGGAATGGCGTAGGGTATATATGTATGTGTGTATGTATGAATGTATGTATATATGTATGTATGTGTGTGTGTATGCATGCATGCATGTATGTATGTGTGTATATACGTATGTATGTATGTATGTATGCATGCATGCATATATATATATTTATATATAAATAGATTGATCCGTACTATCTGTGTGTGCAAGGTGGGTCAATTTGCAGAGGTCCTTCAACAGCCTCGATGCGGCGGCTACATGTACTACAGTGTTCACTGTATATGTATATGTATATGTATATGTATATGTATCTTTATATGTATATAAATATATATGTATACGTATACGTATATGTATATGTATATGTAAATGTATTGGTATTTATATTTGAATATGTATAGAAATGATGCTTCCCGACATATATACATTAAAGTAAACTTAATATATATCACTACAAATTCATGCGTGTATGCACACACGTACAGCATCTTTGAGTGGCTATGCCAATATATTCATTTCTAGTTATTTCCCCCTATACACCTCATATACCAAAGTCACACTATACGCCCTATACACATACATACAAATGCAAGCACACGCACACACTCTCACCTGGGTGAAGTCATAGGCCCCCTGTCCCCCGTAGTCCCGAGTAGTGTTCCGTTGACCGGAGTGGATGGCATGGAATGAGCAGCGGTTGACAACGGCGCATGCCTCTGCAGAATCACAAACAGCCTCTCGTTCTGTGATGTTGGACAAGTGAACAAGTGCATCAGGGTTTGTGAGGTACTAGTGTATGTGTATGCATGTGTGTGTATGTGTGTATATGTGTGTATGTGGGCGTATGTATGTGTATGTGTGTGTATGAATCACATACAGCCTCTCGTTCTGTGACGTTAGACATGTGAAAAATTGCATCAAGGCTTATGAGGTGCTAGTGTATGTGGGTGTATGTGTATGTGTTTGTGTTGCATATATGCGTGTATAAGATGGTTGTGTATGTGTGTGTATCTGTGTGTGTCCATGGTTTGTTTAGGGGTTAAGTCATCCGTACCCTGATAGGAGGCACAGACAGCAAGGGCAAGAGGTCCGTGTTAGCATCCAATACAACACACACAACCATCATACAAACCATTTAAACAAACCATACAAACCATAAAAACACAAAAACCATTTGAACATATAACATACAAACCATTTAGACACAAAAACCACTTGAACATATAACATACAAACCATTAAAACTCAAAAAACCATTTGAACATACAACATACAAACCATGCAAAGCCATTTAAACAAACCATCACATAAACCGTTTAAACATATAACATACAAACCATTCAAACATATAACACAAACCATCTAGACAAACCATCACACAAACCATTCAAACACAAAACCATTCAAACATATAACACACATACCATTTAGATAAACCATCACACAAACCAGATAGACACAAAAAAAACATGTAACCATAACCTGCAAACCATTCGAATAAACCATCACACAGACCATTTAGACACAGCCCCAGCCCCCCCCCGTACCTTGATAGTAGGCACCGGCAGCAAGGGCCGGAGGTCTGTCTTCCCAGCGTGTGCCTGGTCGTGTGACGGCGTCTCACCGGTAGGTAGTGGATTAGCCTGCTGGGCCAGGCTGTCTCTCTCATCCAAGAGGTAGCGGTTTAGGGTAAACAGATACTCCCGCAGATACGACGCCTCTTGGGGCGAACCCTCTTTGTCCTCGCGAAGTAGCTGTACACACAAGGGGAAGACAGTAAACACAGGAGAATGGTACATACGGACGGATGAATGTGTGTGCGATGGAGTGAACACAGGAGAATGGTACATACGGACGCATGAATGTGTGTGCGATGGAGTGAACACAGGAGAATGTTACACACGCACAGATGAATGTGTGTGTGCGATGGAGTGAACACAGGAGTATGGTACATACGCACAGATGAATGTGTGTGTGCGATGAGTGAACACAGGAGGATGGTACATACGGACGGATGAATGTGTGTGTAGAAGATAATCCGGACACACCAGGAGAGTACGTACATATATGTATGATGACATATCATGTAATAAAAGTACATTGCTTCGGATTGAGAGCTGTAGCTTATTGCACTACTTCACACACACACAGCTGCGTGCGATCAGGATGACTGAAAATTGCGGTGGTTATCTACTGATGTGAAACGGTTTTAAACTCACACGAAATAAACATACACATATACATAGATACATACATTCATAAATACATACATAGACCATACACTTATACCTACATAAATACATACATACATACATACATCATATACATCTACATTTACAAACATACATACATACACACACAAACACACACATTAGTACCCTAATTCAAACCTATGCACGATACAAAGGGAAGTCATACCTGTGAAAAGGCCTCCAGTGCGTGTGGGAAATCGTTAACGTAAAACGACTGCCGCCCCACTGTGAAGTGGATGTGATCCTCAGCTAATGACCATCGCTTGCCCTGTAGCACTCGCAACGCCTGAGATATAAATAGAACAGTGAGAGTAGGATATGATTAGAACAGTGTGAGTAGGATATCGATAGAACAGTGTGAGTAGGATATCGATAGAACAGTGTGAGCAGGATATCGATAGAACAGTGTGAGTAGGATATCGATAGGACAGTGAGGGTAGGATATAAATAGGACAGTGAGGGTAGGATATAAATAGGACAGTGAGAGTAGGATATAAAAAGGGCAGTTAGAGAATGATATAAATAGAACCGTGAGATTAGGATATAAATAGGACAGTGAGAGTAGGATATAAATAGAACAGTGAGAGTAAGATACAAATAGAACAGCCAGAGTAGTATATATATAGAACAGTGAGAGAAAGTTATACCTAGAACAGTGGGAGTAGGATATAAATAGAACAGTGAGAGAAAGTGATATATAGAACAGTGAGAGTAGGATATAAATAGAACAGTGAGAGTAAGATATAAATAAAACAGCCAGAGTAGGATATACATAGAACAGCCAGAGTAGGATATAAAAAGAACAGTCAGAGTAGGATATAAAAAGAACAGCCAGAGTAGGATATAAATAGAACAGACAGAGTAGGATATAGACAAAACAGCCAGTGTAGGATATAAATAGAACAGTCAGTGTAGGATATAAATAGAACAGCCAGAGTAGAATATAAATAGAACAGTGTCCGCAGGATATGAGTGCCTACCTGGAAGTAGCAGCGTAGCGCATGACTCCGATGTCCACTCTTTCCAAATCGATGCCCCGCCAAAATCAGATGAAAGGCAAACTTACGGTACATTGCTGCAGAAACAAAACAGTTCACAGTCAGACCATCACACACACTACCAATGGGCTAAACATGCCACACTACCAACGGGCAAAGGAATATATACACTACACAAACAAACAGTACACAGTCAGACCATCACACACACTACCAATGGGCTAAGGAAGATATACACAACACAAATAAACAGTACACAGTCAGATCATTACACACACTACCAATGGGCTAAGCTTGACACACTACCAATGGGCGAAGGAGAATATACACTACGCAAACAAACAGTACACAGTCAGACCATCGCACACACTACTAATACACTACACAAGGAAACCGTACGCAGTCAGACCATCGTACACACTACACAAACAAACAGTACACAGTCAAACCATCAAACACACTACCAATACACTACACTACACAAACAGTACACAGTCAAACAATCACACACACTACTAATACACTACACAAACAAACAGTACACAGTCAGAGCATCACACACACTACCAATACACTACACAAACAAACAGTACACAGTCAGAGCATCACACACACTACCAATACACTGCACAAACAAACAGTACACAGTCAGAGCATCACACACACTACCAATACACTACACTACACAAACAGTACACAGTCAGAGCATCACACACACTACCAATGGGCTAAAGTGGATATACACTATCCTGAAGTAGAAGACTGTGCAGCATAAACTATAGTCATACAGGACAGAAAACAATCAAATAAAACCTTAAACCCTAAAACCCTAGAAACCCCCAAATGAAACCTATTCTAAGTTTAGCACTCATGTACAGTGATATAAACGCACCACTCATTCCATTCGCAATACTATAGATAAAACCATGGGATAGGAAACAATCAAATAGAACCTCTTCTAAGTATAGCACCCATGCACAATGATAAAAACGCACCACTCATTCCATCAACCTATCAGACATACCACTCACTCCATGCACAGTGATATAATTACCTACACAACCCATCAGACATATAACTCACTCCATGCACAGTGCTATAGATACCTACACAGCCTATCAGACATACAACTCACTCTATGCACAGTGCTATAGATACCTACACAACCTATCAGACATACCACTCACTCCATGCACAGTGATATAGATACCTACACAGCCTATCAGACATACCTGGGGTGCAGTTCAGAAAGCAATGGGCCGCTTGTTCTAATAATAGACCACTCCGAAGGTCTGAGTCTTCGCCAGTGGATTTGACACACACTTGCACCGCTTCTTTGTACTGGAGAGTAGACGCCATGGGGATACGATAGATGAGATACACACAAGTGAAAGTCACACACGCACAACTGAAGTAGAAGTACTACACAACCTCACACACAGACACACAGACACACAGACACACAGACACACAGACACACAGACACACAGACACACAGACACACAGACACACAGACACACCTCACGTAGAAGTAATACACACACAGACACACAGACACACAGACACAGACACGCAACTGAAGTAGAAGTAATACACACACAGACACACAGACACAGACACAGAATCAAACACGGAAAGACATAGACATACAACTGAAGGAATGGTAGCACACACACACACCTCGTCCCGGTATATATATATATATATATATATACTCATACTCACACACACTCACACACACACACCTGTCCCCGCGCCATCAAATGATCCAGTTGCAAGAGAAGCGCACGATCTGCGTACAGCGCTTTGTTGCACTTCCCACGGTACGAACCCACAGCTATCTCAAAGTATGTGTCTGTATCATATCTGTATAAGGACATACACAGATCAACGGAGTTCTATAAATAGGTGCAGGTACTATGTGATGTGTCTGTATCGTATCTGTATGAGGACATGCAAAGGTCAACGTAGTTCTATAAATAGATGCAGGTGCTATGTGATGAGTTTGTATCATATCTGTACGAGGACATGCACAGATCAACGTAGTTCTATGGATAGATGCAAGGTGTTATGTGATGAGTCTGTATCATATCTGTATGAGGACATACACAAATCAAAGTAGCTCTATAAATAGATGCAGGGTACAATAAAGTACTAAAGCCAAAAAAAAAACAGACATTACATTAGGCAAGAATAAAAACAAACAATAAAGTAATAAAGACTAAAAAACAGACACTACATAAGACAAGAACAAATACGAACAATAAAGTAATAAAGACTAAAAAATAGACACTACATAAGACAAGAATAAATACGAACAATAAAGTTATAAAGACTAAATAACACACACTACATAAGACAAGAATAAATACGAACAATAAAGCTATAAAGACTAAAAAAACAGACACTACATAAGACAAGAATAAATACGAACAATAAAGTTATAAAGACTAAATAACACACACTACATAAGACAAGAATAAATACGAACAATAAAGTTATGAAGACTAAATAACACACTCTACATAAGACAAGAATAAATACGAACAATAAAGTTATAAAGACGAAATAACACACACTACA